CGACGTAGGCGACGACGACGACGACGACGCGGGAGGAGGGAGGACGGCGACGACGACGACGACGACGACGACGACGACGCAAGACCGCGTGCGCACGCTTTTGTTGAAAATCCGTGTTGCGAAACCTTGCGTTTTTGTAGGTTTTTTGGATACACGATTTTGAAATTTTTCCGAAACCGATGGGTTTTAAGGATTTCGGCATACGCGCAAGACGACGCGCGCGTCTGCACTGCGTCCCGTTTTTTGCAGAGGATTCTCGCGACGGCACACGCGCAAGGGCGTTCGACAGATTTCGACATGCGCGCGCGAAGCCCGTTGGGTTGCATTTTGTGAAAATCTTGAAAACCGATGGTTTCCTAAGATTTCGCAAGAGCTCGCGCGTAAGTTTTTTTAGCAAACCAGTGTTGCGAATCCCTGTGTTTTTGCTTGTTGTTTGGAAACTCGATTGCGAAATCCTTCCGGCACCGAAGGTTTTTGAAGGATTTCGGCATGCGCGCGCGACGGCGCGCACGTGCGCAGTTCGTCTTATTTGTTGCAAGGGATTCACGCAAAAATGTTAAACCAAAAAAGGCCCCTCGTATCGTTTTTTCACAAGGGAACCTCAGGGGGACCGATACCGGCTCCCTGGGGAGAGTGTAAATTCACATTTGGGATGGACATGTGGTCAGAATCATATGATTTACACACCCGAGAGGGTGGCGGCGAACGCCGGGGGGGGTAGAATCTATCTCTTTTTAAAAAGGAGAATCTACGTCGTGCCAAGTATGCGCCGTAAGCTAGTGTGTCATCTATGTGGTGTGGTATATAGGATGCGAACGACGTGGTGCAATACATGTGGTGCGACCTATGTGGAGTAAGCTACGTGGTGCAATCTGAATGGCGTGTCGCACGCAGTGCAAGAGATGAGCGCGAGCTATACTGGTGGCAATGTACGCAACGAACTCAATCAGTACGATGTGGGCAATGTGGCGTCAGCTTCCGTATTCCCACTAACCCGCACTCACAGCTCGCAGGTTAGCGGCACTGGGCTCCTTCGGGAGCCACGGCCTAGGCAGCCCCTCAGGCCCGCCCGCAGGTCCTCGGGCCCGAGCAGCGCCGCGCCTGCAGGCCCACGCACGCCAGACTGAAGTCTAATCCCCTCTGCTGGCGAGCCGTATAGGACGAGACGAATATATTGCCACAACTTGATCTTGACACGTCCCGGGATTCTGGGATTTCTGACAGCCTTCGCGCGGGATACACTTCGCGTCGAATGGTTTACTGCGCCTGGCGCCGCTGGTCGGCCAACCATTCGCAATCGAGTTGTCGCCCGCAGGGGGCTAACTATTTGGCACCTGCTGATCCCCCATCTCGTTGCCGAGCGCAGGGGGGACGGTGGTGTACCACCCCATCGCCCGTCGCCGCGCACTGCGCGCCTCGGCGGATTCCCAAAGACCTGTCAAGGCAAGTCACGCGCGAGCATGGAAGATTCTCCCGGGATATATTTGAAAAGCATGGGAAAGAGTTTGAAAGATGTCCAGCCTTATTTTGGAAAGTCTGGAATCGATATTGAATATTGAACAAGTCCAGAACCACTTTTATGCTTTGAATTTTTGCTTCACCAAAAAAACGGAATCCATTTTGAGAAATTCCAGATTTCAAAATTATTCGATTTCATGTGCGGCGGGCGCAATCCACCGCTCAGAACTGCTTTTGTTTTGAAATGCTCCAGATTCCTTTGCGAAAATTCCGGGACCACTTTTGCAAATTGCCGGAAGCATTTCGGAAACATTCTATAATCCGGAAATGATTTCTGGGCGGTCCAACCGGCGCGGCCAGCTGATTCACGCGCCGCGCCGCGCGCGATTGGGCGCAGCGCGCGCCCCGCCCTGCGAGACTCGCAGACCCCCCAAGAGCAAAACACAAAGCAGCTTGGAATCTCCGAGCGTGCCCCGACGCGCGAAACATGACCCGCGCACATCGCGCCAAGAACCTGCGCGACGGAATGCGCTCGACCACTCGTCCCTGGAGCCCGCGCGAAGAAACAGGAAAACCTGGTGAAAGCTAGCACTATCAATACTTCATGCTCCTCTGACCGCAGGCCTACAGGCCGCCTGCTCCGCCCCTGACGTCCACGAGGCCCCCGAAGGCCTTCGCCGCGTCCTTGGGCCCGCCCCTGGCCCCCCCCCGCCGCCGAGCGACGCCCCGGGCAGTTCACGGGCCGCCCCAGCGCCAACTCCACGAACCAGCTCCGCCGCCGCCGCGGGCTCCCGCCTCCGACTCCGCCGCGCACGGCGCGTCAGGGCGCCCGCCCCCCTCGTCGAGCTCGAGGCCCGACACGCCCGCGTCTGGCGCCACGGGCGCCGCCACGGCCGCCTGCACGAGCACCGGGCTCGCGCGCACGCCCGCGGCAGCCCCGGCAGCGCCAGCCGCCGCAGCGGCAGGGGAGCCCCCCGCCGCCCTGTTGTCCTCGTCCGGCCCAGCAGCTCCAGCATCCGCCGCGCGAGGAGGCCGGCGGCCATCACCTGCAGCCCCAGCCTCCGCACGCCGAGCCCGACGCGCCTCCGGCAGGCGCTGGCGGCGACGCCTGCGCCGTTCCGCCCTTCGCCTCCGCCGCGGCCCCAGAATCTCGACCACGAACTTCTCGGCCAGCCTCCGCACCACCAGCGCCCGCAGGCGGCTCCAGCCGCGGCTCCGCAGCACGCAAAGCTACAGACAGTGCGGCCAGCGCCACCGCGGCCACCGTGCGCCGCGGCGCCTTGGCCTCCACCACCGCACGAACAGAGGCCGCCACGAGCGCGGCCCCATCCACGCCAGCCATCGCTCCTCTAGCACCACGCGCACCAGCCATCACGCGGAGGCAGACGGCCGCGACGAAGGCATGCGATCGCTTGAGCCTATGTGATATAGACATACCTACATATATGGTGCGAGCTGTGTGGTGCACTGTACGTGGTGCTATCTATGTGGTGCAAACTATGTTGTGAAGTATATGTGGTGCACTATGTCACAAGCGATGTGTGTGTTGCAGGCTGGATAGCGCGATATATGTTAATCAATATATACATACACGTGGTGTAAGCTGTGGTGCAAACCATGTGGTGCAATATATGCGGCGTAAGCTATATGGTGTACTCTATGTAGCGCAATAGGTGCAATAGATGTGTTGCAGTGTATGTGGTGTGAGTTATGTGATACAATGTGGTGCAATAGATGCGGTGCAAGCTATGCGGTGCGATCTACGAGTTTCAATACATGTGGTGCTATGTATGTATGTAGATGTACATATGTATATACATATAACGGCGCACCGGGGCCCGGGCCCCTGGGGCCGCGGCCTCTACCACAAATGGGGGTGCAAAGTGTAATTGTCCCTGTGTTTTTACAGGTTTTCGGCGACCCAGAGCCAACAGAGGCCCCCAGAGGCTGCAGGGAGGCCCCAGGAGGCCGCAGCGACGGCTCCAGACGCCTTGAAGCCGCCCCTACAGAGTTCCAAGACCCTGCACCAGATGGCTCCAACCAGCAAAACATGATGATGTGTCATTGTTCTTTCCCATGTTTTTTGGTTCGTCGCCTTTTCGAGCTTGCGACGCTTCGAGCGTGTCCGGGAATGCTTCAAGACCGCGCTAAAACGGCCGAGAGACGCCCAAATGATTGCTCCAGGTCAGCCCAACAGGACCTCAAGACGGCTCCGGGAAGAGCCTCAGAGGAAGGTTACGGACGAAAAACCGTTGGTTTTCGCTCGAAGAGGCTCCCAGGAGGCCTCCGGGATCCCGCAAAAGCCAGTCGGAGAGCTCCCAGAGGCCCACAGGACGCCCGCAAGACGCTCCGCAACAGCTTCCGAGAGGAGCCGAACAAGGGTCAAAGCGCACTGCAAACACCCAGGGGGGGATTTCCCATGGCTTTGAGAAGGATTTTAGCCTTTTCGCCATTCCGCCTGTCCGACGCTCCAAGATGGCCTCCGAGGCCCCATAGACCGTCCCACGACAGGCCAAGAGGCTCCCTAGAGAGTCCCAAGACGTCCCAGGATGTCCCCAAGACGGCCAAAGATGAGCCCAAGACGGCCCAAGAGCGCCACAAAACGATCCTAAAGATACCAGTCTCCCGCCCCGGGGACCCCTGGAGGCTCCCACAGAGGCGTCATACGGCCCATGAGTCATGAAGCTGCCAAACCGCCCCAAGAGGCTTCCAACAAGGGCCCCGAACGCCACCAGAAAGCGCCAAGAGAGCCCGACGACGCTCCAAGAGGGACCCGAGACGCCCACAGGCCGGTCCAAGACGCCCAAGATCGCCCCCAAGACACCCCAAGAGGCCCCCCAGACGCCCCAAGAAGCTCCCAGAGGCCCCCCAGGAGAGCCCCAAGAGGCAAAATTCCTTCCATTCCCTTGGGGATAAATATTTGTTTCACATCTATACCTCTTTGGCTTTCACGCCGTCCAAGACAGCCAAGACTGTCCCAGAGGCTCCCAAGACGGCTCCAAGACGACCCAAGAGTGTCCCAAGACGGCCCGAGAGGCCCCCAAGACCGCCCAAGATAGCCCCAAGACAAGCCCCAGAGGGGCCAGAGGCTCCCAGGAGGCCCCAAGAGGACCCCAGGAGGCCCAAAGATGCCCCCAAGAGGCCCCAAGAGGCCCCCAAGAGGCCCCAGGAGGCTCCTAAGAGGCCTCCAGGAGGCCCCTGGGAGGGTCCCAGGAGGCTCCCAAAAGGCAAGCCGCAATTACGTTCCCCATTTCCGCTGTGCTATACTCCCTTATTTGTCTTGCAGCGCAACTCCCGAAGGAAGCGAACCCCGAGGGAGCCACGTTCCGATAGGAATGAAACCCGTTAGAGGCGACCCCCGCAGGAGGCGCCTCTGGAAGGAATTGAACCCCGACAGAGAAAATGAGAGTAGCAAGCCGCATAGGGACGCGACCCCCCCCACCCGAAAGAACCAAACACCGACAGGGAGACGAACACCGTCGGAGGCGAACCCCAGGGGCGGCGAAGCCGAACGAACGCCGACGGAGGCACAGCCGACCCCAGAGAGTCTGGAGTCTCTTTGGCTGTCCAGTGTGCGTTTCGTGGAGGGTTGTGGGTCGTTGAGGCAACTTCTGGGCCCGCTTGGAGGGCCGAGATTGCTTCGGAGGGGCCTCTTGGCGCCTTTTCGGTGTCTCTTAGGGGCCTTTGGGGTATCCCGCGGCGCCTCTAGGGCACCTTTTTTTCGGGGCATTCTTCGGAAGCTTTGAAGCCGTCCTAGGGTCATGGGATCGGTCATTGCCCTTCAGAGCTCCCATAATCGCTTCTTCGATGCCTCTTAGACCGTTCTTCGTGCGCTCTTGGGGACAACTTGCGGGCTTTTGTTGGGGCCCTTTTGGGGCCCGAGCTTCGGACTACAAGCTGTGTAGAACCAAAGCGCGCGCGAAGCGCGCGCGATGGTTCTAGTACATACTATTAATGGATGTGTGATCTACGAGGTGCAAGATGTGGTGCAGTATATGTGGTGCAAGCTATGTGGTGCAAGCTTTGTGGTGCAAATAAATGTGAGGCAGTCTACGTGGTGCACTTTATGTGGTGCAAGTCACTTACCGAACTTGAAGTTGTCAACTCCACTGCTCGCGCAATCATCCCACCCACCCACCCGCAACTTGGTTTGCAAAACCCATGCGGGAACGATTGCGATGAGTGCTGGGCATTGGCTGATACATCTTTGCGGCCGCGCGAGCCCGCGCATGCTCGCGCGCGCAACGGCCAGCTAGTTTAGCGCGACCGACGCGAACGCGGTGGCGCTGACCGCTCGGCGCATCCCACCGGGCATTTCAGTACGAGTCGGCGACTTCGACTTTTGGCGCGAAGACGACGACAACGTCGCCAACGAAGACGACGACGAGGGAGGAGGGAGGACGACGACGGCAACAACGACGACAACGACGACAACGACGAGGGAGGAGGGAGGACAGCGACGACGCGAACGACGAAGAAGGAGGAAGGACGACGACGACGACGACGACGACAACGAAGACGACGACGGCGACGAAATAGGAGGGACGACGACGAGACGCCGACGACGGACGACGACGACGACGACGACGAGGGAGGAGGAGGAAGGACGACCACGGCGACAACGACGACGGAAACGACCACGACGCCAAAGAGGACGACGACGACGAACACGAGGGAACACAGAGGACGACGCGGGCGACGACGACGACGACGACGACGCGGGAGGAGGGAGGACGGCGACGACGACGACGACGACGACGACGACGCAAGAGCGCGCACGCACGCTTTTGTTGAAAATCCGTGTTGCGAAACCTTGCATTGTTGTAGGATTTTTGGACACACAATGTTGAAATCCTTCCGAAGCCGGTAGGTTTTGAAGGATTTCGGCATACGCGCGCGACGACGCGCGCGTCTGCATTTCGTCCCATTTGTTGCAGAAGATTCTCGCAACGGCACACGCGCAAGGGCGTTCGACAGATTTCGACATGCGCGCGCGAAGCCCGTTTAGTAGCATTTTGTGAAAGTCTTGAAAAACCTATGGTTTTCTCAATCACTTGCCGAACTTGAAGTTGTCAACTCCACTGCTCGCGCAATCATCCCACCCACCCACCCGCAACTTGGTTTGCAAAACCCATGCGGGACCGAGCACAGATTTCGCTCCGGGGTCGTCTTGGAGCCCTCGGGGGCGTCTCAAGAGCGCCCCAAGAAGGCCGGAGAAGCAAGACGGCCGACGACGACGACGACGACAACGACGACGACGACGACGGCGGCGGCGACGACGACGCCGACGTCGACGACGACGAAGACGACGACGCCGACGCCGACAACGACGACGCAGACGACGACGACGACAACGAAGACGACGACGAGGGAGGAGGGAGGACGACGACAGCGACAACGACGACAACGACGACAACGACGACAACGAAGGAGGAGGGAGGACGGCGACGACGCGAACGACGAAGAGGGAGGAAGGACGGCGACGCCGACGACGACAACGACGAGGGAGGAGGGAAGACGACGACGACGACGACGACAACGACGACGACGACGGCGACGAAATAGGAGGGACGACGACGAGACGCCGACGACGGACGACGACGACGACGACGACGACGACGAGGGAGGAGGAGGAAAGACGACCACGGCGACAACGACGACGGAAACGACCACGACGCCAAAGAGGACGACGACGACGAACACGAGGAAAGACACAGGACGACGTAGGCGACGACGACGACGACGACGACGCGGGAGGAGGGAGGACGGCGACGACGGCGACGACGACGACGACGACGACGCCGCAAGATCGCGCGCGCACGCTTTTATTGAAAATACGCGTTGCGAAACCTTGTGTTTTTGTAGGTTTTTGACGCGCGATTTTGAAATCCTTCCGAAACCGATGGGTTTTGCAGGATTTCGGCGTACGCGCGCGACGACGCGCGCGTCTGCACTTCGTCCCATCTGTTGCAGAAGATTCTCGCGACGGCACACGCGCAAGGGCGTTCGACAGATTTCGACATGCGCGCGCGACGCCCGTTTGGTAGCATGTTGTGAAAATAGTGAAAGACCCAATGCTTTTCTTAAGATTTCGCAAGAGCTCGCGCGTAAGCTTTTTTATCACATCAGTATTGCGAAACCCTGTGTGTTTGTAGGTTTTTTGGAAACTCGATTGCGAAATCCTTGCGACACCGAAGGTTTTTGGAGGATTTCGGCATGCGCGCGCGACGACGCGCGCGTGTGCACTTCGTCCCATTTGTTGCAAGGGATTCGTGAACAAGTGTTATATTAGAACAAAAAATGTCACCTCATACTGTTTTTTACATAGAAACCTCCGGGGGGGCGATACCGGCCCCCCTGGGATAGTGTAAA